AAAATAAGTTATATTTCTATTTGTAGAAATCCATTGTTGAATTAAATTTAGATTTTGCCTATATATATTTTGAAATTATTTAAAATAATTATTTTTTATATATAAGAAATAAATTATATTTCTTTTTGTAAAAATCCATCGTTGAATCAAATTTTGAATTTGCTGATTTATAATTTGAAATCAGTTTTATTTGAACATGTTTTTTTTGGAAAAGTCATTTTATGTTAATTCTTATTCATTTATATTTTTCAAACTGACTTTAAGCTACATTATTTTATTACCTAATTCATTTAATTTTAATAATGTTGATTATGTTTTATGTTTTATTTCTCATTATTTTTCGGGGACCGTTTAAGTTCTTCTGAACTTCAGTCTTCCCGCTTTTTTGGCTAAAATAAAATTATTGTCATTTTCATTGCCATGTTTGTTTTGTATGTCTTAATCTCTGGCTTGATCACGGTGAAATTAATTTTTTTTACATGTTTTTAAATTAATGAAAAAATTCATTTTGGTGTTAACAAAGTGAGTTTATTTTTGTTACCTTTGCTACAAATCGTTTTAAAAAAATCATTCAAATATAGAAGACTACATAGATGCAGATTCAATCTGGTCCTATCTTTCTTCTATCTGACTTTTTGACACATACAAATAAAAGAATAAGGTAATGAGTCAAACATAGGAGTATGTTGAAGAGAAGTTATTTCAATGGAGTGCCCTAGTTATTGTTATCGTCACAGCTACTCAGTCAAAAAAATATTTTTGAATTTGTACGTAAAAATTTAATAGTTTTCAACTTACATAAAAACATGAAAAAATTATTTTCATATATTCATACGTGTTGTATGCAGTTTGCCTTTTTGTTTTATCAGCCTGAATGTAAAATGTGTCGTTGCACTATGATTGATTACTGTCTTTTTTAATTTGTGTTTTTTTATTTTCATGTCTACATTCGTACATTTCAATTTGTGCTTTTCAGTCAATACACACTTCAATTAGCATACATCAGCCTGTACTTATCAATTTGTACATTTTTACATGTGTAATTCAATTTGTACACTTCAACTAGTACAGCTTCATTAGTACATTTCAAGGCAAAGGATGCGATAACAAATATGATCTGCTGACGCATTTTTTGATATTTTTGAATAATTTTTGAATAATTTCCAAGCAACCTTTACTTTTTTCATTGTCAATTAAATTTTTAAATATTAAAATGAAGCTTTTAAATGCAATGGTGTCAATTGCGTCAGATGTAACTATTTTTGAAGCGTGGTGGAATTGAACGGCAACGAGACAGCTGACAGACAAGCAACCCTTTATAGTTGAGTTAATTTGAATCGATTGCTCATTGAAATCGCGTCTGATGGGTTGGAATGAAAACTTAATTTCATTTTAACGATGTTTTATGGAATATGTGCTGAAACGGTTAAAAAGTAGGAATTCAAAAATTTTAAATTTTTTATTTATTTTTCTAAATAACGCAAACACTCATATATTATTCAATTTGAATTATTTTGAAGAAAGAGTAAAAATTTTTAATCTTTCAATGTCTTTCAACTTTTTGAATTCATTCATAATGTGCGTGACATGATGTAAACGTTAAAAATGTCGTTGAATATTTAATTTGTTAAAGTTAAACAATCTTCATACATGCATAAAAAAATTCTAAAATATTCTGTAACTTCATCACTTTGTTTAGAAACTCACAATTTTCTTGATATTTTTATATTATATTGACAAATATAATAAATAAATAGCATAATTTTCTTATAAGTTGACTTTGATTTTTAACATAATGTAATTCATAATAATGAATCGTATAATTTTGATCATAAATTTTTTCTGAAATAGTCAAATCATGAAAAATTTTCTATTTTGGCAGTACTAGCCAAATAATTTTAAAAATATTTACCGACATTAAAAAACTTCAAAATCATCGATAGATATGAAATAATCCAAATATAGAAACAACTCGCACTGCGGTATGTAATGCAACCTGGGGACAGAACATACACATGCATGCATGCATGCGGTTAAGTTGGTCTGCTTGGTGTGGAGCAGAGAGCCGACATACAGACTCGATCCAATATAAGAGATGTTGTTTTCTCGTCCGCGACATCTTCTGCTTTTTCCCGTGATGTTGTTCACATTTGATCGCTGATTTTTGCCGTTAAATTAAATTAAGGAAATTTTTAAAAAATATCTGATTGCCACTGATATGAATTACCAATGTATATGAAATATTGCGAACGTTTCTTTCATGGTGTTCAACATTTGATTTTTAGATAGGGTTAAATTATTTATGTTTATTAAAATATGATTAAAACAATAAAAAAACATTTTATAAATTTATTAAACTTGTAAAAAAATATGTTAATCATAAAATGTACTAAAAAGAAATAATTCACATGTTTGGAGTTGATTTAACATCATCGTCGTCGTCATCCTCACGTTTTATCACATTAATTAAATTCAATGCATTGTTGAGTAGTAGTAGTGCAGTGCTTGCATTTGGACTGCTGCTGCTGCTACAACTGGCGTCTGTGACGGTGTTTGCCGATTCAAAAGAGTTGACAGATTCTGAATCTAAGACCACAATCACTTTCTACAATGGAAAGAGTAAGGACCTTTATGATGACGATGATGCAGATGGAAACGATGATGAAGATTACGGTTATAATGATGATGACGACGATGATGACATAAATGATGATGATGACGATGATGATGACAATGACACTGACGAGGACATATACGATGATGATGATGACGATGATGATGACAATGACACTGACGAGGACATATACGATGATGATGATGACGATGATGACGATGATGATGTTGACATAAACGACCATGATGACGATGATAGCAGCAATGACATTGATGCTTATAATTATGATAACTTTCGGATTAACTATGATGAACATGATGAAGGAAATATAAATGGAAGTAAAAAAATTTTTCTGCCCGTCAACCATTCTGTAACCATCAAGAAAAGTCTCTTCAACGCAAGTAGATCTTTGTTTTATAAATTTAATTTCAATTTGATCATCTGCTATTAATAGCCTTGTGTAGAGTTTGTTTTTAACAATGATGTAGAAATACGTAAAATGTATCTAACTGTATCTGAGTTTATTCAGTCTCTTTTTCATTTTTTAATCAAATGTTGCCAAGTTCGTCACATTTTTCTTTGCGCCAAAAATCCGCTGAGGATATTTGCAGCTAGCCATCAGCCGCCAAACTAGAAATGCTTTTTCAGCCGCTGGATATTTTAAAGTTGAAAGTCACAATTCAATTTTTTCAATTTAAATTCGCCTTTAAATTTGCTCGTGACAATCATAAATGCGAATGAATATTTAAATTTTTCGCTGAAAAATGTTTTGGAACATTTCTATAATAAAAATCTTTATGGACAAAATTTACTGACTTCGTTAGAGCCTGGATTATATGAGACCAGAAAAAAGTGTTAAATATGCTGAAATATTATTATAAAGTACCCTACATGGTCAGAACAACAAAAATTTGATGATAATAGTCAAATATATTAAAATTATTATAATCTTGTACAAATGAGTAAAAAAAAATGAAGACGATGTTGTCAAATGAAATTAAAGAACTGCAGATTCTGATGAAAATGATAGTCAAATAGTTCAAAAATGTTTGACGCTGCAACTCAGCTCGTTTTCCTAATTGAAGCCAGCTAACATATATTGTATATAGCATATATATTGTATATATATAGCATATAAATAGCATATATTGTATATAGCATATATATATATAGCATATAAATAGCATTTATTGTATATAGCATATATTTATTTGTCCGCATTCTCATCATCAGTTCCAGTTGAGTCCATATTTTCAACTACGAGTTTATAATATGAACTCACGCCGGTCAAAACTGAAAAAGCTAAAAATTGAACCTAACAAAATAAGTTTCATTCATGACAATTTCCCATTTTCTGTGAAAAATGATTAGCATTAGCAATTATAAAAGCTTTTTGTTTAGAGAATTTGATTTTATATGATTAATATTTGTTAATAAAAGAGGCTTTCCTTGAAGAACTAATCTTTAATTTTTTGTGGGTTGTCAGTTTTCTTGTTTATGCCCAAACTTGTGTAAATGATTAGGCCTTGCTTCATGTAAAATTAGCCGATTATCAGTTCAAATAAATTTTTTCAGCCGAACGTTTTATTTTCCGGTTCAGCCGGATTCTCTTGAAGAAAGAATTCGGCATAGAAGACTAGCAGAAAAGTACTGTTTTATTAATTTTATAGTAATGTTTAAAAAAATTGAATTCTTTAGCAAATGTTTATTATTTCCTAATGAACTTTTATGACCTTTACATTCATGATAGCCATTAAGATTCGTTTTATTCAATCATTATTTATTTAAATGCAAAGAAAAAATAAATTAAAAGTATGCAACTGAATAAAATTAATAACTTCATGAGAAGCGATTTATTCCAGCGGATCAAAGGTCATTAGAACAAAATGAATGAAAGTATAGAAGAAGGAATGAGTGAATAAGGAGATGAATGAACGAGTGAAAGAATTAATGAAAAGTGAATAAATTATAAAAGGCATTACAGATTAAGAAAAAGATAAATGCAGGAATAGATGAATGAACGAAAGCATGTAAACAAAAGAAATAAGAAAATAAAAAAATTAAGTGAGAAAGAGTAAACAAATGAATAAAAAATATTCCGAAATAGCAAATGAATAAATAAGTGATCGAACAGAATACTAAATAACAATAAAAAACTTTGTCATCTTTTTTTAAATTTTGCGCTAGCAAAACACGTGTGCCGCATATCAATCAATCATTCAACAAATGTACATATGAAACAACTTCTCTGGAAATCAAGTGCCTTCCGCGGTATAAAACATCTCAAATGGTGCGTTCCGAACCAGTCAACCGTTTTTATTGCGCTATTTAGTAACATTTTGGAAGAAAAAATTAAAATCTGACAAAAATTTATTTTTCATATAGAATGGCAAAAAATAATAATACAACGAGAAATGCAAGAATTTATCTGTCAGATAAATCAAGCGTAGGTTCTAGCGCGAAGTATGAGTTTGATGCGACAAAGCATGAGGAACGTCATACGCGAGTAAGAGATACGTCATATGCGGGTATGGAATACGTCATATGCGACAAAGCATGAGCCATGTCACAGGCAAGTATTTACAACAGCTTCATTATGTCTACATACATTACTCCGCTTAGCAACGCGACCAGAAATGTGCATGTTGCAACAACAAAAAAGAAGAAAAAAATAAAGTCGTACATTAATGTTGTTTCCGGAGCACACGGTGTTTGTTAGTTCGGGCGGTTGCGAACTCTGATTTGTACGTGGAGGATCAACACTTTCCATGGTTAGAAACTTTTCTGAGGAAGAATTTTTTGAGTAAACTGGTCTTAGGAAAAGGTTTCTTAATCATTGCCCTGCAGATAATGTGATAATGCAAAAATTATTATATAGCTTCTTTATTTAATTTTTTTAACAGAAACGCTGTTTATGTTATCGTGACAATCATTTTTATTTTTATCATTATAAAAAAAAACATTTCATTTTAACGACGAATCTACTAACGCTCCAGCAAAATGTACGTACGTTCATCCACTGAACCAAAGCAGAGCAAACAATGAATGATAAGGCTACAAGGAGAAATAATTACAGAGCATCGCACATATTGGGCATAAATATCAGTTGTAGGACGGCGAAGGTTAACAGAAAGAAATTGATATTGCCTGGCTGGCTGGCTGACTGGCTGGCTGGCACGATAGAACTAACACTAAGAACGATTTATAATGATGCTCATTCATTGTTCTCTACCGCTGATGCTGCTGATGATGAATGAATGATTCTAAAGAGAATTTATTTGAAACATTTTGCAGATTACATGATATTTTTGTTTTATCCATAGTATATTATTATCATTATTATCCATGAAAAGATATGTGTTGATAAAGTAGCTCAACAATTTCTTAACAATAAAGACGCAATATAACTTGTAGGGGCAATTTGAATTCTCAGGGGGTGCAGAAGGGCTATACCGGTTAGGGCGGAACTTGTTGAAAAACTCGTACAATAGCAACATCAAAAACAGTTTTCTATTTAGTTAAATTAATAATTTTTAGTTATAATCTGTTCGTATCCATTGTTTAAAAATTATAATAAATCAAACTAAGTCCAAAGTTTGGTTTAGGCCAAACTCAGATAAGATCAAACAATGTTTATGAGAATTTTTTTTGTTCTTTTTTAACAATATCTTTTATGTATGTTATATTTAAAAACTTTAACATGTTATAAAACTTTCCGTTAACGCTGAACATGTTGTAGACTTTAGATCACAATTTTATTTACAAGGTCTTTGGGTGGTTGCAACATTTTATTTACTTTAAGTCAGTCCTACGTGTGTTTGTTCATGATCATTCTAAGGTTTCAGTTACACAAAACTTCATGTACTTCGTATTGTTTATATCTTGATTTATTTCATTTTATATTATTATAATTTAGAAATATTTTAAGTATATTTATCCTTGATCATTTTAATTATAGTAGCGTTATCTTGGTTTGTTTTACTGCAACTCGTGTTACATCCATAAACATTTTGAATGCTTTATTGTTAAACCTTTTGATGTGTTAAGAATAATGGCATTGAAATGTAAAGAATTTATTAATTTCATTAAATTTACTTGATCTATTCTTTCACATTTCACAACTCATTTATTGTTATTATTATTCTCAATATTACCACTACTTGTGCTTTTTAATGTAATAATAATAATAATATTAATAATAACATTACTAATAATAATAAAATAATAATAAAATGGAATCTTTTTCTTGTTGTTCTTGTCATTTATCTCAGTAGTTGTTCCACAATCGAGTGATCAAACGCTGAATGAATATACCGCGGTGGTGCATTGAAACGTTCAAGATGCGTGTGCCTCCTCCCATTGTAGCTCTGTTGTAAACTTAAATAAATAAATTTGTGAATAAATGATTGGATGAATGAATAAATAAATAAATTAATTAATTAATTAATTAAGTATGTAACTATTGTATTCTAAATAAGTTATTTTTTATTGTGGTGAGTTTGCTAGAAAATTTTTTGGGTTAGACAAAAATAGTTTCAATGAAAGTTAACTCAAAGTTACTGAAAAATAATTATTATTGAATAATTTATTATAGTTATTGTTATTATGTTATTATTATTATGTTACAATTATATCAATAATAATTAAAATTAAATTTGATTAAATTAATTTTACGATCATACTTGGGTAGCATAATTTTAACCATCGTGACTATAGCAATCATGTTAATGATAGGAGAGGTTGATTCAGGGGTCCCAAATTTAGTGAGGGCCGGTCAAAAATATGTCATCAAGCTAATTTTGGTAGTTTTTACTTCTCGTCAAATTTAGACAATTTAAAATTTTTATCCTGTGATGACAACCGTGCTGTTTTTTAATGTGTACAGGCATAAAAAAAACACGAACACAATAACACCACCAACGGACCAACTGAAAATAATATCGCAGCCCAATGGCCGATTGCAAATTTTTTATGACCATATTTATGTACAACTAATACGCTTCTAATTACCGGCTTTGGTAAATCTTTTATTACCATTTTGCAGGTATCTTCCAACACCATTACAGAACTGCTCGGCCAAATTTTAATCAACCTCAGACCGACATATTTTCTTCCAATCAACATAAAACGCATCAAAAGCTGCCACAGCTGCCACAACAAAACTTTCGACCAGTACAATCACATTTCCAGCAACAACAAGCTCCACAGTTTGATTTAAAAAATAAGCAGAGTCGATATCAAATACGACATTTTCAACGACTTAGACACCGTCAACAACGTCAACAACATCCTCCTCTGAAACAACAAACTCCTACTCGCCACCAACAAGATTTTCATCACAAACCTCAACATCAACAACAACAACAACAACATCAACAACAACAACTTCAACAGCAACAACATCAACTGCAACAACATCAACTGCAACAACAAAAACAATACATAAAACGTCACAAAAACTTACATCAGCAACAAAATCAGCAGCACAAAAAACGTCTTAAGCCATTTCGACTTCTTAAACGGCCTCACTATTACAATCGACTTAATCAAAAGTACCAGAAGCAGTTTAATCAATATCTATCGCAACTTCAACAAAAACAGCATCAACAACAACAACATCAACAACAACAGCATCAACAGCAACATCAGCAACAACAACAGCAACACCACAAATCACAAAAATATCAAATACCTCAACACCAACAAAAGCAGGATCGTAAACAACAACAAAAAAAACGGCCACTACAACATAAACAACAACAACAACAGCATCATCATCAACGGCCTCATCATCAGCAACAACAACAACTACAACATCAGCAACAACAACAACAACAACGGCATAAACAACATCGGCAACAACAGCTACACAACAACGGACAGGAAATTTCAAGGCAATCAGAAAACAAGCAAGGACAAAAAAATAGATGTAAAAAAAGAAAATCACTAAAGAAAACTGTTGTAGGGAGGCAGTCATCTGCTTTTCATCATTTTAAAAGGCAAAATAAACGAGAGAATGATTTCAATGTTAATCCTCATTATGATGTTTCTCTCAAAAATTTAAACGTCAAATGGAGCAGTGACGCGAGAAGTGCGAGAAACGACTGGCTCGGTTATAATGGAAATCGAACTAAAAAAAATAAGTCAAGAGTATCATTGAATAAAACTTCAAAAAATATTTATAAAAATTTAAATGTCAAAAACAAAAGCAAGAGAAATCTTGGAAAGATTGTTAATGAGACTAATGAGGAAATAAACCGCATCTTGAAAAGTTACTCAACTGCCAACAAACAAGCCAAGTGCGTCATCTGCAAGGACAAAACCATCATCATCAACAACAACAGCATCAACAACTATAGCAGCATCAACAACAATAACATAAGTGACAACAATTTTAATGACACTAATAGCAAGAATATCCTTGAAGAAAGTTATAAGGAAGATACCAAAGACAAACTTAGTAAAGTTGCTCTTGGAAATATAAGCGAGATAAATAAGAGTAGCGCTAACAACATCGTTCCTGACAATTACAATCACATCAATATCACTACAACCAAAAGCAGTAACAATTTATACACAAGCAGCAATTTTTATATTCAAAAGGGTGACAGCAACGCTCGCAACAACAACAACAACAGTGACGTTAATAACATACGCAACGTTAATAACATCAACAACATCAGCAGCAGCAACAAAAAAAACCAACTGAATGACATTCGCATAAACGATGCATCAAAAAATTATAAAGCCAGTCACCATCAGCGTTCCTTCAAATCATCCTCTATATTCAAGAAGTTTCCGACGTCACTGAAGGGCCAATATCTATTTGCTTCTCCAAACCCTTCCATCATCTCTTTCAATAGAATTTCACCATCAACACCACCATCCAAATCATCTTCTTATTTCTTATCACCTTCACTGCTACAACCGCCAACTATCAATCATCTTCATACTACCGGCACAACAATCCCAACTACTCAATCAACAGCACCGAGTACTTTCACAACTTCCACGCCATCAACAATAGCGGCAACAACAACTACAACAACAGCAGCTACAACAACCACAGCCACTCACGTCTCCAGTAATTTTCGTGAGGAAAGCTGGAGATGCAAGGAACTGATTGAGAGCAAATCTTTTGTCATCCCACTGCAGACAGCGCAGTTGAAAAGTGGAAGCAGGACCAGGAACAACGCCAAGCATCTCTACAGTGCAGATGATATTAAATGGAGCAAAGCCGATGCTAACGATCTTCATAACAACGATGACGATGATTTAGATGATGACGATGAACATGACGACGACGACGATGTTCATCTTGGAAGCCATATTGAAGATGGCTTTGACATTGACATTTACGATGGCGGTGACGTCATTAAAGATGGCCCACTATTGATTGACGAGCACATGAACAATAACAATATCGTTAACAGCAATGATCTAAACAAAAAAAATAAAAACATTTGGAATTTTAAGAGAAAACTATTAAATAACAAGTTTAACAAGAGTAGCGTTGACATTCATATGAAAAACCTTGATCGAGATGATGCATTTAAAGTTAATTACAACAACTTTGGTGATAACATCGCTGAGATACATATAATCAACGATCTTGAAGTTAGTTTTTAACTTTAAAACTAATTAAATTTTTATTTTTTATTTTCCAAAAAAAAATTTTTCCATTGCGGTCATTCATTCAATAAAACAGCTTTTAATTAATTTTTGGACTCATTTGTTCTTTTATATATATTTTTTATTGCATCATTTATATGGCTTAATGGCCTTTTCATTAATTTAACGCATTTTATCCATACTCATTCATTCATTCACTCACTCATTCAATTACTCATTCATTCACTCATTCAATCACTCATTCCTTCATTCAGTTACTTGCTTGCCCACTCATTCCTATCTCCATCTCGGTAGTTACCCATCATGTGCTGGATGTCGGTTGCCTCAATCAAAATTTTATCGATCAAATCATAGCTCGCATCTTCATTATAGTTACGTTGAATCAATGTAAATAAAATTTTGAAGGGTAGGCATGGTCATAAAAAGAGTTCCTACCTACGAGGGTAACTTCCTATATCTCGTATAAAAATTTCAATCATCTCAGGACTAAATTTTATTTTAATCCATTGCGACTCGTTCATTACATTTTAAAGTACATCTGCTGCTAACGCTGCTGAATTGTTGCGACTAATGTTGATCTGCGTTTATTGCTTATAATGAACGGTTGGCGTAAACAATGAGATGTGTTGCGCTGGAGTTTTGCAGTTGCACAAGATTCACGAGCTCACTACAGGCGATGGCGTGTTAACCTTCCCTTCGTTCTTACGGTCTGTGACCGGTCTGCAGGCTTTTGAAGCGAGCGAGAACGCACCTAATGAAAATATTTACTCCATGATAACTATATAAAGAAGAGATCTTTCAGGTTTTGTTATTGCTTGGAAATGCTTTTGTTGTCATAGTGATTTGATCTTTTCATCATCACCAACCCGTAACAATTTTTTTCATAATATTGTGTTAAATGTGTTCTACTTTTTTATGTCTTAAAAGTTGTTAAAGTGCAGATAACATTTATATTTTTGTTTCAACATTTCGCCATCATAAAACAGCAGAAAGATTTTATTAATAAATAAGTTAAAACATTACAGAAGACGATATTTACAGCAGGCATTTCGCAAAAGGTTAAGAACAGAAAAATAAAACAAATGTTTGCATGAAATAATATGAGTAAATATTTTTATTAAAAACCAATAGATACATCGAAATCTACAAATAATTAGAAATCCACAAACACATTATGCCTTTTTTAAAATTAACTTCCATGTCGACCGCAGACATTTTTTCCAGCAAACAACACGCCCGACGAATCGTAGCGAAACTAATCGTTGAATTCCCAGCTGAATCAACTTTCTTCTCCGTTCTCTGTGCTTTTTAATTGCTTTCTTTAACGTACGAGTTCGATGCATCTAGTGAATACCAGTTCGCTTCGTGAGCATAACATCGCGGAGAAGATGTATACGGACACAACAAGATTTAATTTTTTATTTCTTTACTTACCTTGTTTCATTAATAAATAATCATCCACTATTTCAAAACTTTGTCCGATAAAGAAAAATAATTGAATATTAAAAAAATTTGATCGATGGTCAGTTTGGTGCCAGGCTGTCGAAGTCGCAGTTGGAGATTTTTGAATGGGGACGGATTGGGGGTCTGATTATTTTTATACGACTCTGACACTCCGCATTACAATATATAGAAATGATTTTCAACATTTTTGTTTGATATCTGATTTATTCTTCAAAATATATTTATCTACGTACAAGCTAAAGTTTACAATGATTATTAATTCTGAAATAGCTAGCAAGCGTTTTTAAATAATCGGCTTGTATATTTTTAGTAACATGCTTATACACTGACAGTGTTTTCGAACTGCATTTTAAAGTTAAGAGACATTTAATTGGATGTGAAAAGCAGCAACTGCACTCGGGAGATTTGCTAAACTAACAAACAATAACATCAGTGTCTCTCATAGTAAATAATTTTTTCTCATCTTTTGCCATTGTTATCAATTTTTTTGAAATGAGAATTGTTTTTTACGCTAAAATCTCACAATTTATTTGAAAACAAAATTTATGGAATTTCAACTTTAACTTGAATGTTATCATATATTTTTTTAGATTAATCGCGAAAATGTGATTACATTCAGTCATGTGTTGCAATTTAAACGACAAATAAAAATATAAAACTATAAATTTTAATTTTAAAACTAATTAAAGAAGAAAAAGAAAGAGGAGCAGAGATACGAACAAAAAACATACGCGTTGGAATGAAGTTTGCCTCGCACAATAGATGACGAGACAAATTTGAGGAAAGCGATGCCGTGAATGAGATGAGCGCTAGCGTTCCTCCTCCCTCCATGAATGTCATTATTCCAGGCAATCTTCCGCGCCATACTTCAACGCATTTCTATCTCTTTGTCCCCTCCAATTGCACATTTTTATTCATTTTTTATGATCATATGCAAGAGAGAAAGAGAAAGAAAGAAAGAAAGATGGACAAAAGAGAGATAGATGGAAAGAAATAAAAGAAACAGATAGAAAGAGAGAGAGAGAGAGAGAAGGAGAAAAGAAAAAAAGTACCTTAGGATCTGCGTATGTTTGTAACGAGTTTTTGTTTTCACGAGTATACGTTTGTGTTAGCGTGTGCTTATTTTATTGTTAATTGAAATTTTTGATTTTTTTTCCAAAAAATTTAATGTTTGTTTCAAAGATGAATATGTACATTGATATGTAGAGATGTTGGAAAAGTCTATGCAAATATATGTTGGCGCAAACATTTAAAGGTACGTTAATCAGAATGTCTAAACTTGCATCAGGTTTGTCTGAGAGCACTGCATATGTTACGTGCAACTATGTGCCAATATGAAGAATATTATTTTGAATGCTCGAAATTATTTGTCATGGACAAATAAAAAATTAATCAAAGTGTCGAGGTTGGATTTTTCTTCCATTTTCAATGTCAAAATTCTAATTAAATGTTTTTAACCAGTATAAACCAAACGTGGTTATTTGGAGGAATTTTTCAAGCAATTCTACTCATTTTGTTATGTGTGGTGTAATGTAGATAGGGGTGTTTTCATTGAAATGATTGATTTTCCGTAAAATTTAATTATAAATCCAATAGCTAAATGACGAATTGATAGATTAGAAGTCAGATATGTCGAAAACCGAAAATAATTTATTACTTTTCAAAAAAGTAATTTTAAAAAATTCAAAAACTAGTGATCAAACAAAGAAATTGTTTTCCAATGTTGCACTGAGAATGTATGAAACTTAATTGAACTGAACCGTGGTTTAGCGCACTGAGAAAATTCAACACTGCAAACGCATCAGCGTATATTTACATTAATTCGCGTCACGTAACGTAACGGTAGCCTAATCATAAAATGGTTTCACCACGTTTCAGAAGTTTAATAAATATTATTTAATTATGGAATTATTTATTTAAATAACGTTTTAGTTATTATTATTTGTGAAAATACTTTATAAGATAAAAACAAAAATTTCAGAAAATATTTTTAAATATGGCGAATAATTTAAATATAACAAAAATGTAAAAAGAATTGTGTTTCGGGGTCATGATTTATCCGTTGCAAATTGGCGCACAATTTTTCAAAATCTCATCTCAAATGATCATCGATTTTTTGACAAAAGCAGCTTTTCTGAAGGTTGCGTGTTATTTTGGATTTATCACATGTTCTATACATGTAATCACACACACACACACGATACACCACACGCACACACCACACGCACACACACACACACAAACACACCACACACACACATATGTATATTCGATGAAATCGCTTAGGTCAATCTAAAACTTTATCGAATGAATATTTTTTAATATAAATATTTTATGAGAGTAAATTTTTTTCAATTATCATTAATTATTTTATTTCTACCAGAATATATTTTCAGGCATTTGAAAAATAGAAAATATCAAAATTTAATGTATATTAACCCATTTCGGTTAATTCCCAAAAGTAAGGAGGTTGTTGTTTTTGAACAAATTTTTTTGTTTGTACCAAGACAGCATATAATAAAAAATATGTTTGGAATAAAACACGTGTAAATTTGAACAGGGGGTTGTGAACAGACTTAAAAATTAAAACAAACAGAAACATGACAACCTAGAATAATCATAACAATTTCTAAAAAAGGAAAGTTTTTGTTCAGGACTCAAAAAGTAATAATAACACACACATATCAATATTAATACTTTACAAAATCTCAACACTGACATCTAATAAAAATGCAAAAATAGTTGTGAAAATTTCTAACATTAAAAACGACAGATCATATATCATAGTAAAAACACAAATTTAAAAAATCGTCGCGAGCATTAACACACAGAATTAAATAAATGTAGGTATTAAGTCATTTTTATACAAAGAATGAAGGAATGGAAAAAAGAGAAATTGGAAGAGAGAAAGAGAGAAAAAAAGAGAGTAAGCAAGAAAAAATACGTACGTATAAATATTCAGCTGTTTTTAGTGTGAAATCTTTTTCCATCTGAACATGTTAATTGCGCAATCATTGATATGTTGCTGGCATTCGACATAGGCTTGTTCCCTTGTTATAACACAAAGTGTGCGTGTGGCAAACATGCCGTGCCAGCTAGAAGTTTAGCTGGTCGTAGTTAATTATTATTTAAAATTATTTTTAAAGAACTAAAATGAAACAAAAATTTATTTCATTTTTCATTCTATCTGTTGAATTAAACTGATTTTTCCAACAGATCTTGAGGTTTTTAGCTCTGAAATTCGTACGATTGAAAATAATTTATCTGCGTAAATTTTTTTTATAAATTTCCACATCAGAAAATCCAAATGAACGTCTAAGACAAATGTTTATAGAATTTTTTTTTTCTAGAACAAAAATAATTTTCCTTCAAATTTATCTTTCAAATCCCAAAACGAGGCATTCTGAAATATTTCCGATAAAAAAGAACCAAATTTAACTGAAAAGATCCGTCCAAACGTACGAAATTGAATTTAAGTTTTTTCTTTCCTAAGAAATTCCAAACAATCGACATAAACAAGCAGATGGACACACACAAAAACAGGTTTATTCATTTAGAAGCATACACAGATAAATTTGAAAATAGATGTTGCCTGGTTTATAAAGTTTCTCTAACGTTAATTATTTTTTAATTTTAATCTTTTTAGACTTGAAATTTGATTTGTATTGCAAAATATTAAAATTTTTGCATATATTTAGCCATTATATAGTTGGTTTTTTCCTAAAAGAGAGCAAATTATTTTGTACTCGCGACATAATCCCTTTAAAAATTTAATTCAGCCTAGTTAATAAACATCGACATTTTTAAAAAGGGCGACGTGGAAATACACGACAACGAGAAGTTCATTGAAGATTACTTCAACAACAACATCAAAAACCTTAACGCTGACGACAACAACAACAACATCCCAGGCAACAAAAATCGCAAGAAAAATAAAAAAACCCACAAAACTAGCAACAAAATTCAAAATAAAAAAGTTTACAACGACAAAAATTCACAGAATATAGAAAACAACAAAAAGGAAAACTTAATTTTTGTTGAATTGGAATCAAGCAGTACGTGGAGAGAGACAAACGACAAAGTACAGGTTGATCATTTCTTCGAGTACACTGGTCATGGTAGGATTCTAATCCTTCATGTGGTTGGTCTCTGTCTTCCTAAGTTTTTCAGTTATCAATATTTAAAATCTTTTCGCTAATTCATCATCTACGTATGAATTTGCTGATATAGAATTCATTGGAAGCAAAAAAATCTAATTTAAGTTTATAAAATCTAATATAGGTCCACATATTTACACATACCTACCTACATGACAGCTGAGGTTCTATTCGCATTGTTTATCATTTAAAATTTCATGCATTACAAATCAAGCCATTACTACTTTAATAATTATTTTAAAATTTTATAATAAATAAATAAATAAATAAATGATCTTCACCGAGATATAAACAAATAAAAAAAATAGAGAAACGCTGAGAGAAACAAAAAAAAACAGAGAGAGAAAAGAGAATTAAAAAGATGAACACATATTACTTTTTGAATTAATTTATTTTTCTTCTATTGAACGATTTCATCAATCTGTTTTATTTAAACAATTTTTTTCTCTGCAAAAATGTTGTCTTCCTGAATGCCTTAATTTTTTCCCAACATAATACCGCATTTTAAAATTAAGAAACAAACATTAAGATGCTTCGTCCTTACAAAATTCAGCTTTACGCGCTTGTGTGTGAACATGTCAATAAATAATGAAGTTGCATGTGCGAAAGTTTCAGTCCATCTTAACCCGGGCTGATAACTGCGAAAAAGCAGAATTTTCAAATTTGGCTTCTGGCAGTTAGTTGCATCTAACAAAATTTATTACCCACAATTTGTCTGCCTGTCAAAAAATTTCCAACATATTTTATCTGTTTATTTGTTGAAGTTTATTATCAGGTGAATAAACTTTTAATTCTGTTTGATAAATGAATTCAATTAACGGTGGAAAAAAGCAGCAATAAAATGCACGATGAATACACGTATTGGCCGCATTGGGATCTATTTTACTTATGAAGGGCCTAATTTGTTTAAATAACAAATTTTTTCGACCCGGGGAAAAATATTTTAAAGATTTGTGGCTCCTATTTTTTGGTCCTAATGTCTGGCTGATGACCATTTTTGGGTAACAAGGCCCCTAGTGGACCATGAAATAGCATCGTGGGCCACCCGCGGGTCATAGTGTGTCCACCCCTGACGTAGATTATATTATTGTGATTAATATGTTACATGAATGAATGATAAATAGCTTAATGTAAAATATATTTAGCAACAAAATATTGAAAGTCATACAAGTTTAATATTTCATGAATGCTTTTAGCAATGAAAGCGAAAATATTATTACGATGATATTAATAATGGAATATTAATTTAATATATTTATTACGTACGTTAATGACGATGATAAGATAATCAATAACATTCTTCTACATTATAACTAAGCCGTGTAACAATAATGTTACCCGGCTTAAAATTACATGCAATAAAGTGGTTGGATCACTTTTTTATGTTATGATGTTGTCGTTAATGTTTTGGTGGTGGTTAGATCATTAGTGTTGTTGATGTCTTGATGATACTTTGGATGAAATCGTTAACGATGTTACGATGATGTAATAATGGTTGGAACGTCAGAATTGTTAATGTTATGATGATGGTGTGGATTGATGTTATGATGATATTGGGGGTTGGATTATTAAGACTGTTGATGTTAGGATGACATCAAAACTGTTAAGGGCTCTTTTTATTTAAAAGCGGTGTGTGATAAATAATAAAGCTAATATTGAACTGCTCCTTCTAACACACAAAACAGCAACGACAATGAAAGCAACATCATACACTTTAACTATAGCAGTAGCAACATTAATAACAAAATTATTTGAAACTACCAAAAATGAAACAATAACAAATCCACATTTTAACATCACAAACAAAACAACGGCTACAACAACATTATAATTTGCTGGATGAAATTATTTTAAGCAGCAACAATAGCAGACAAACACACAACACTTAAAACGACAACAACATAATCAGCAACTAGAAAAGTCAAAAGATAAACAAAAGCGAGTTCAATTAATCACATATATTCGTCAATTCAGACTTAACTGGCTTGGTGGGTTGCTTATAAGATCAGCAACCACTGGAATGTCTTATCTTGATGTATCATTTCTCAAACACCCATGCATATTCTTGTTTAAAAATATTTACTTTCGTCCATGTAAACTTTTTTTTAGTGATTTTGTTTATTTTAAAAGTAAAACTTCAAAAAACGAAACTATATTCATCTACCTTCCAAAAAAAATTATATTCGACAATATCGACGTTATTTTCTGGAGGCATTTATTTGGAGCTTAGCAGTAAGTGGTCCGGAAGTTTTCGCGAGGATCAATCCGGGTTTGTTCGTCCGGCTCGATTGAGCTGCATGGTGGGTCACTTTCTGGATGATGTGAAACTTCTTCTAAATTAACATTGCATTGTGCGGTAGACTCGCTTGCAAAAACACATTCACACACAAAAACAAACATACCTACACACACATAAACAAACATACCTACACACACATAAACAAACACATTCACCTGCATAGACAATCGCACTCACATTTAGAAACACATTCATATACATAAGGGAATACACTCACGCACACATAAATAAACGAACTTAAACAAGCAAACAAACAAACGCACTCACATTTACAACACAAACACACTCATACACATAAACAAATACACCCACGCACGCACGCACGCATAAACAAACTTACTTACACACACATAAACAAACACACTAACATTTACAAACAAATACACAATTAACAAATCACTAAAAAAATGACGTTAATTCAATTGAAAGTACCTGAAAGAAAGAGTGAAGGCGCCCATACAGCCAGCCACTCCAAGTATTTCCATATTATTCCTTTACTTCGCATCTTCAGTTGTTCTCTGTTTGGTCTGTGTTTTCATAGTCTTGAACGTCGTCAACATCATTTCCATTCGACGCAACAAAAACGCTGTAAACATCAACAACAGCAACAACAACAACAACATTATCAACGACAATATCAACAACAATGCTAACAACAACACCACCAACCACAATAACAGTAATGGCAATGACAACAACAACAACAACAGCAGCAGCAACAACAACAACAACATCAACAACAACAACAACAACAACAGCCAAGACGAAGTAAGCATTAATATAAAAAGCGAGAGTCTCGCTGACATCATCAACATAAATTTAATTAACAGTGCTAGTAATAAAATTATAAAGACAAGTGCTAATACTAAGGAAGGTAGTAATAACGACAATGGGCACAACAACGACGTCCAGGTTATTAATGATGACGTCATCTCTTGTCACACTCGTCTAGGAGATTCGCCCATTTGCACCAATGACAATAACAATGACATCAACAACAAAACAAACATCGCCAAGAATACTAACGTTTATAAACGTATTAATCGCATAAAATATTTAGAGAGCATAAAGGAGACTGATGACATTAACGACAACAACAATGATGACAACAACAATGATGACAACAACAATGATGACAACAACAATGATGACAACAACAATGATGACAACAACAATGATGACAACAACAATGATGACAACAACTTCAGTCCCAACATTGATGAACAGATTTTTCACGAAAACGATACCACTTTTAAAAATCCTCCTAAAAATTTTTTTACAAAAATATTTTTGGACGGAATAATTTTCAAAAATACAAAACACAGCAACAAACTCAAAAACAACAACAGCAGCAGCTATGATATCAATGACAACCGCAAAACCGACAACATTCCCGTATCTATTTTTAATGTCTGCAGTCACTCGAATGCATATTTTCAACATTCAGAGGCTTACGCTTGCAACAACAGAACTACATCAACAGCAACAACATCAACAGCAACAACATCATCATCAACAACATCAACAACGGTTACAACAACTTCTGCAACGACATTAAACCCAATCAAAAATTTTCCAAAAAACGTTGATTCTGTTACAAAATCATCACACGAAGTCTCGACGCAAAATGCAAACAGTGTTGAGTCACCATCATCATCGTCTTCATCCTCGCTTATATGGACCACAAAATCATCCGCAGATGCCATGGGTTTGTGTTAGTTTAGTTTCAGTTTAGTTTGTTGTGTAGTTTAATTTGTTGTGTATGCAAATACATCTTTTTTAAATTTATTGTTGGTTTAACCTCAGTTTTTCTTATGAACATGTCAAGTTTGATGGAAATGATATTGACGATGTATTTGTTGATCCTTAGTTCTACGGCGGTTGAGGCACATGTTAACATTTATCACATTACTGAGTGTTGTCTTTATAAGGCCATCTACTCGAAGAAATTAACAAATGTGCTCCATTTTATATTAGCAAAATGGTTAAATTTGTACATTGTTTTAAAAAAAGACAAAAAATGTTAAAATATGGGAATTTTTTTATTATTTTTGAAAAACCTTGCTAATACTGCAGGTAAAATTGTTTTGATAAAATTTTGAAACAATTTTGTAAGGTTATTCTTAAAAACCGCAAATTGTTATTTGTTATTCAAAAGAAGTGAAAGTAAAAATGTTAAAAAGTTAGTTGTCGGGCTCATTGTTGAACGCGAAATTTAGTTTCAGTACTCTAGTCACAAAACGTTTAACAGTCTTTTACTTCAAATGTGCTGACTGGAAAAAACTTTTAAAGACTTCATTTTATGGCGGCTGTTCATTTCGTAAATGTTGCTCCAATTGTAGTCAAGGTTAAAAATAATAACGATGTTGATATTTTATGTACAAGTGTTTTTTCTGTTGTTGTGCAATTGTGCTTCGTGTTGCTTTGTTGTTGTACAAGTGTACTTCGTGTTGTTGTGTGGTTGTACAAGTGTGCTTCGTGTTGTTGTGCTCGGTCTGCCAACAACTGTTTGCTAACAGTTTTTGTTAAAAAATTTTGTTTCTTCAAAAAAGTTTCCAATTTTTTTTTATTATTTCATTACTATTTGACATCTAGTTTAAAGTTTTTCTAACAGGAATGTGTTAGTATCGTTCTATCAGTTTGAAAATTTCTGCTCAATAAATGGCATGCTAACGAATACAAGGAGCGCAGTAATTCTCACAGCTAAAAAGATCGGCGTTGGTGTAATTGTTTGTTGTTTAAATGAAACCACACTGCATATCAGCAGGGACAATGGTCATGTTTAACAACTTCATTACAATTGAAACAAAGCAGCAGCAGCAGGCATGGAAAATTGTTGTGCATGACCGAGTTGAAATTCAACATAAAACAGTGCCATCACTGAAGCCGCGCCGATCCGTTAAACAACTGAACGGCTATTAACAATGGCACCACGTCGTCCATCGTGCATGTGTTTGTCTGTTTGTGCCTGTAAGTGTGCGTGTACATGTGCGTGTACGTGTGCGTACATGTATGTGCGTCATTGTGTAGCGAATGAGTTTTTAATTGTGTGTGATTGTACGTAGGCAACTGTTGTGCTTTCAAGCGACGGTCATTGTGCTCCGTACAGCAGATGAAGATGTAATGTAGTGCTCTGTCGGTTTTTTATTGCAACGAACGCTTTCCACTGCACGCATTTAATGTTCATATTCATATTCATCAAAGTATGATGCTCGCTTTCGATGAAAAATTAATTAACAGCGTCAATAGGGTTGCATGATAATGGGCAACGTTTAATACGAAGAAATAATTAAATCAATATTAACTAAACTGATTTTTCACAAATGACGTTGAAAACAATTAAAGCATAATTGCAGTTTCCATTTTATATAAAATTTTCACAGGTATGTAGCATTACACACGCAAACATGCAGACAACAGGCATTAAAATTCTCAATAACACACCAACAAACAACATCTCAGCCAACACACATACAGCTGGAAGCACACACAAACACAAACACACACAGACAGAGCCCACAAAAACTCTCATACACACATACACACACACTCAACACACAGATAACTAAAGCAAAACGCATTCCCCTACTGCAAATTTGCACATTAATTTATTTCAAGTTTGTATCTGATTATACGCTCCTGTGACTGTTGAACAACTATTTTTATCAAATCTCTACTGATGTTTATTGCATAATTTTGTTAAAAAAATTTTAAGCTGAAATATTTTTTTGACTCATGAAAATATTTTTTTAATTTTTTGCCTATTTATCTACTTTTGCCTTTGTAATGTAATGTATGTAACGCTGTATGATCGATGGTATGGAAGATGCTGCAACAAATCCTAGCTGCAAACCTCTTTCAAATAAAGTCGTTGCTGTCTTAGTTATTGGGATGTTTCTAAAATGAAAAAAAACATCCCCACAAACTGTAAAATCAGAAAATCAACAAAATTAAAACTGTTAGGGTGTTACATTTTTCTTGTTCTCATTTAAGGCTCTGAGTCCTGGACAATTTCTAAAGAAATGGAACCAAAAATTGATGCGGCTGAGATTTGGTTTTTGAGAAGAATTAAACCTCTCATACCTCCAATGTATTAAAACAGTCCGGTTATGAAAAAAGGAAATTACTACAAATTATCCGACGTGGGAAGTTAAAGTTTTTCGGTCACATAATGCAAGGGATGGGTTGGAAAATCTAACTATTAGTGGAAGATTGCAGGGAGAAGAGATCGTGGTCAACAATGAATTATATTCGTAAAATTCTTGTGTCACTTGTTGAATATTACCACATTTCTACTGCTACAAAGTGTAAAGATCGGGTTTTGTGGAGGTCGATGGTCGCCAATGTCCTGAAAGGATGAGGCACGAGAAAGAAAGAAGGAGATGTTGTTTGAGATATTTCGTTGTTTTAGATTTATGTGTTGTCGTCTTAAATGTTGTACTGTTGTTTTAGGACTGCAGTTTAATAGAGCATTTTAAATTTCATGTTTTTTCTTAACTGTATCTTGAATAATGCTAGACAGTGTTGACCGATTTAATTGGTCCAGGATTTCATGTCAGTTCGGTTAAAGATACCGACGCTTAATCGGAACACCTTGACAAGCTCCAGGTTTGGTCCGCTTAACTGGATTACAATATTAAAGAGAAGAATGAATGAGTGAGCGAGTGAGTAAATAAAAGAATTATTGAATGATGAAATGAACAAGGATGAATCAACACTTGGAGGTATAGATTGATGAAGAAGTAAATCAATATGTAAAATAGTTAATTAATAGACACAACGACATATATTATAAACAGGTTAACTAGGAAGGCAATTCATACTAACAAGTAAATGCATTAATATTATAAGCGAATTCATTTCTACTTCCTTCATAATTATTATAATAAGTAATAATGATGATAATAAGTAATGATAATAATAATAATAATGAGTAATAATAATGATAATATAAATAATAATAATAGTAATAGGCTCAACAGATTTTGTGACCACAAAATAAATCAACGAACCTTTAAAGGATATCCGACAGGAAGGCCAACAATAAAAATAATAATAACAATGGCAATAATATTAATATTAATAACAATAATAAGAATAATAATAGTACGAAACAAAAACAACAACAATAATAATAATAAGAATCATAATTATAATTTATAATAAAATTAGCGGGAACATAAGAAAATAAAAATGCCGAATGAACCAAATCAAAATAGCGTCGGCTGAGCGGAAGCATCGTGTACCAGCTGTTTACTTAAAAAATGTAATAAAAATTATTATTATCTGAACTGATTGTCTATGTCACGTAATGAAATAATAGTAGCAGAAAAAGACAATGTAAATATAACTGATACGTAATAAAATATGTAGAAACAAAAAATAAAAAAAATAAATATATGTATAATTATAGGATGAATAATAATATTCAACTGAGAACAGAAGAATCAGATTAACTAATACATACATTATATTTTTGCTACTACTACTACTGCTGCTGCTGTTACTACTACTACTAATACTATTACTACTACTACTACTACTATTACTATTACTACTACTATTACTGCTGCTTCTACTACTACTACGACTACTACTATTATTACTACTACTACCATTACTATTACTACTACTACTACTACTATTACTGCTGCTACAACTACTACTACTACTACTACTACTACTACTACTACTACTATTACTGCTGCTACTACTACCACTACTATTATTACTACTACTATTACTGCTGCTGCTACTAATACTAGCGTATGTTATTTATCATGTATTCATCAGTGTTAGTCGGACATCTATTGGAATTTTAAAAATTCAATATTTAGAAGAATGGGACTTAATTATTTTTAACAACTGGTTATATAATGGAAAACGTGGCATAAACAACAAATTAATCCCACAAACTGAAATGTCAGCACTAATTAGCACTGCCGCACATTTGAACAATAACACACCTCTAGCCAACCAAGACAAGAAGATCCAACAACAATAACATCCAAACAAACAAACAGCACACAGATAATCACATTAATAACAATAAAAACAATAAAACATAACTTGCTTGCAGATAACGACAGATTGAATGCATATTACATCGGTTTTATTTTTCTCCATTCGAATTATTGGCGCAATAAAAGGAATGTTACCTCAAAAGGATATTACGCGCTCAAGAAATGTTCTGAACCAACTTAAGACAATCTAGAACATTCTAGATTGTTCTAGAATATTCTAGAACTCTTGAAAACTTTCTAAAACCTTCTAACCCCAGAACATATAAGGCGTAGGCAACATTGGTTTAAATAACCCTGAGCATTAAAATAAGCAATGAAGAGGTCGTCGTGATGTGTTTGATGCAAGGCTCTGCGTTGAATGGGGTTAGAATTTGATTTTTATGCCCGCAATCACCCGGAGAACATAATATGTGACGTATTGTTGTGTTGTGTTGGCGTTCCTCCACTCAATCATCGTGAATGAATAAATGAATAAATGAATGAATGAGTGAGTGAGTGAGTGAATGAATGAATGAATGTATGAATGAATGAATGAATGAATGAATGAATGAATGAATGAATGAATGAATGAATGAATGAATGAATGAATGAATGAATGAATGAATGAATGAATGAATGAATGAATGAATGAATGAATGAATGAATGAATGAATGAATGAATGATTTATTGTTACTAATTTATATTTGTTGTAATTT